ACAGCACTCTCACACCCATCACACACAGCACTCTCACACACACAGCACTCTCTCACACACAGCACTCTCACACCCATCACACACAGCACTCTCACACACATCACACACAGCACTCTCACACCCACAGCACTCTCTCACACACAGCACTCTCACACCCATCACACACAGCACTCTCACACACAGCACTCTCTCACAGCACTCTCACACACACATACTGCACCCCTCACACACACACAGAACCCCCCCAACACACTGCACCACACACATACACAATACTTCCAAATATATATATATATATATATATATACACACACTACACTCTTAACATACACACTCTGGATCCCCTATACACATGCTAGATTCCTTGTAAGCAAACACATACTACACCCCTAAACACACACTACATCACCTATATACACACACACACACTATAGCCTGTATGCACACACTTGCTATATCCCCAATACACACATTCTCTACAGCCCATAGCCACATATGCATCACATTACACCACAAACACAACATGACTAAAACTAACCTTATTACACAATACCACACCACAATCAGCTCACTCTACACACACGCAATACCACAAGCAGGCTCCAAACACATGCACAATACTCTTTCCTGGCCCTTTTGTCTCCTGGTATCCATTTATAGAGACACCAGAGACAAGTTGCAAGGAAACACAGTGCAAGCATGTTATTAAATTTGCTTGCACTGTGCAGAACAAATAAAGAGCTTTTTTCTCATGCTAGAGCTCTTCAGCAGAGCTCTGCGCTTGGTCTGCCCTGGAAGAGCATTGAACCAACATGCTCACTTTGAGAGGAGGCGTGTTTGTCATTGGTGATGACAAAACACACCTCTACTGCCCCGCCCCCTTCTTAGTGGGCCGCTGTGTTAAAAAAATGCCCGGGCCGAATTTTTCTCCCAGTCCGGCCCTGACATAATAACCCCTTGGCTATACAGTAAGACAAATTCAAATGCAGTGTAGGACTTACAGACCATGTTTAACGTGGCAGTGGAATGGTCAATATAATGATTTAGGGTATATTCGTTAAACATCAAAAATGTAGGAAATTGAAAATCAGATTGTAAAATGTAGGCCTTGCTTTCTGTGCTAAATATAATTTATTTCCAAACCCAGCCACCTTCGTACGCATCTCGACCTTCTGAGAAGATCCAGGTTCCAACCATTAAACACATTCTGGAGGACTACCTGCCTGGGAAAATTGGGGAGATGACCTATGACACCACTCGTGCTCCATCGCTGGTGAAAGAGGTCAGCGAAGAGGTAAAGAATTTGGTGAAACGAGTTCTTCCAGCCCGTTACAAGGTTTTGTGCGTGGTGAATCTGGGGGAACGAGGACAAGAGGACATCATCGTGGTCAGTCGCAGCTTGTGGGACTCTCATTCTGACAGCTACGTGGCACATGTGCATCAGAATTCCAGCATGTTCTGCGTGGTAGCTGTATATGTGGTATACTTTGAGTAGCACTGTATCAGTTACCCGTGTGTCTCTCGATACATGTCTTTTTGGCCTACAATGACATGGCATTTCTCAATGTTTGCCCTATAATAATACAGTCTATCTGTCCATTTTCCAGTGGGCCTCATATAAAATACAATTACAATTACTTTTCATGAATGCACTTATTGTAAGCTTCCCAAATACAGTCAGAAAGGCTACATCTATTAATTAAATTTGGTTAAATCCAAGGTCATGCTGAACATGGAAGTAAAAATCTCAGTAAAAGAAGGAAATTTTAATCATGCATCCATTACTTTTCTTGACCTTGATTTTGTAATGTTTGCACAACATGTTTGGCTATGTATATTGTCTTTGTATATTTCCCTCTACAATTCACCATAGCCTTACTGTGTTGAATGCATTTTCCAAAACACGTCATCAGTTGTTGGGAGATCCGTAAATAAACGCTTTTATAGTATTTTTATAAAAATGCGCACTATACACTAAAAAAACTTTCTGTTTACTTTAGAAAATAGATTATTTTGAGAATGGGTCAAAAAGTAAGTACCCTGATCATATTAAGCTATACTATTGTTACATTTCCAAATTATCCTATGAACTGTGCTTTTTAACTTTGTTGATGAGTTTAACCGATAACCACTGTTTTTTTCTTATCAATGCAATTTGTGGCTTGTAATTTATTTTCACTAGTCCTCTTGACACATTAAGTAATTTTGTATTTTTAATTTTTATTGTTTTGTAGCTGAGACACTCGCAGTTTTAGGGCTGATGAATTAGCCTTTTTCATTCTTGTTGATAAACTTTTAGTGATCACAATCTGTTAGGAAAACTTTTCAAATTATTTATCCACAAAGGTTCCCTTAGAGTTTAATTGTCGCTTCTGTAGATAAATCTTTTGAAAAAAAATTCTAGCAGATTGTAATAATTTAAAAAATGTATCCAAAAGAATTAAATTGAGGACTTTGTTGGTTTCCTCAGAGATTTAGAACTGAGGTCCTCCTATGTTGGAAACCCAGCTGCAGGGATCTTCTGTGTGCCAGTAAAGGGACATCTAAAGATCTCCATTTAAATACTGGCTTTTAAAAGAACAAAGGTTGCAAAAGATTTGGGAGGTCATCTATGTATAGCCCCTTCCACAGACCTCTCCATGCTACAAATGACAGGTCCTGCACTGGGGCTTAAGGTCAATCTTTTAGGCTTCTCCTAAAAAGGGTTAAAATCAGAATTCTTTTTCCATGGAGTCAAATTTTACCCCAGAATTTTCATTTTAATTTTAATTAAAAAAAAATTTAATTTCACACTTTTAACTATGCCAGCTTTATCTGACATGCCTTGATCTGAACATTATCCTTAATTATTTGGTAAAGTACTGCATATATCCTGCTATTTGTAAAAACATTTATTCACCATGTATTTGCATTTTTACTCTGTGTGACAACATTTTTTTTAATTTTTGATAACTAATAAACTATGACGTTTTGGAATTTAATTTCATGTGCATTGTTTTCTTTATCTGTATTTGTTAGGTTGCCCATGCATGAAGAAGATAGATTTACAGGAAAGTCCCTTTAATCAAAGACATTTATAGAACATATACACTGAAAGACCCCTTTCAAAGCAGGGTGCAATGCATTTTTTTAAAATAGGAATTAGAAATTAACCCATTCCTCCAACCTTGTGACAAGGGATAACTTTTATTATTATTACTTATCCCATAAACCCTTTCTTACATCCATGCATGATCTTCACCCAGCACAGAAAAAAAATATCTGCTGAAGTTTAGCTTAATAAAGTAGTTTTGATGTATAGAACATCCCCCTCCATTCTCAATGCTCAATTATCTGTCATTTAGGAGTTAAATAACTTTATTTATGCAGCCCAAGACACACCTCCCTGCATGTGACTTACACAGCCTTCCTAAACACTTCCTGTAAAGAGTCGTCTAATGTTTACACTTCCTTTATTGCAAATACTGTTTGTTAGGAACGCTGGTATTTCAGATACCCATTCGCTTCTGGTTCCTCCCAAACTGCTAAAAGCTGAGTGATTATAGCTCGCAGTTCAGGTGTTGATTCAAACTTTCTCCAGAAGAAAATGCAGTATCCAAGTAAATTCTCCCAGCAATCATACGCGTACCCAAACATCAGCCTAAACTAGATGAAGGGTACAACAGGAATTAATTTATTCAGGCCAAATGGCCGGTTTACATGCAAGTTCCCATGCAAAAGGTTTACCGTGAGATATTCACGGGCCATTCCCAACTGGACCTGAGAGGGGACTATGGCAACGTACACACTGTCATTACATTAGCTCTTAAGTCCAAGACACTCCCACACAAAACAAGATAATCCCTCCCTTGTGCCTGAGAATTAATTGAGTCAGTAACTATACTAAACTATACTAAACTCAATTATCTCCAGGCACAGAAAAGATACAGAGAGAGCACTTAATCTGCAGTTCTCTTTGTAGTTAATGAGCCAAAATCACGGTTAATTAACAAAAAGGGTAGTTTCTTCACACTGTTTAATTTAGAATTTCTTATCTCCTGTTCTGTTAAAGCGGCACTATCATGCCGAACTTACCTCAATCACTTCCTCTTCTCTCCCTCTCTCAGGATCTGTTATTCGTTTCTTCCTATCTGATGTAGTCTTCTATAAAACATAAGACAAAGTACGGACTACTTTGTCTTATGTATTTTTCCTATGCTTGACCAGCTCTGACCCACTTCCTGTGGGTAAAAGAAATTTCCCACAATACTCACCCTTTCCTCTGTGATCTTGCGATGCCTGTTTTCAGTATTCCCGAACATCCTGTAATGAATGCCGGCAAAGCTACCGAATTTCCTCCTAACAGAATGAGAATAGTTTGTCCATTCGTGTTAGGACGACATTTGGTGCTTTTAAGTCGGTTCGAAATTTCATTAGAATTAATGAAATTCTGATCCGATCCGATTGCGGCTGCATCTTGCAGCCGCTTAGTAAATACCTCCCTAATTCCCACGGTATTAGGGAGCTATCTACCAAAAGGCTGAAAGACCAAGATTGGTCTTTCAGCCAACTTTACTAATACTAAGTAAAAATGACTTAGTATTAGTAAATAAGGATGACTGCCCCTACTCGCTATGCCTTGAGTAGGGGCATGTCTACTAAACAGTGAGCAGCTATTAACTAGCGGGGGGGGGCATAGTGATCCGTGGCCACCTCCCCCCCCCGGGTTACTCTGCGTGGGCCGGGGCCGCAACACATGGCGGGGGGCACCTGGTCGCAGGGTTGCGACCGCGGTATGTACGCCAGTGCATGCAGATACACATACACTTAAAGGAACACTACAGACACCCATATCACATCAGCTCAATGAAGTGGTCTGTGTGCCAGGTCCCTCTAGTCTTAACCCTGTAGCTGAAAACATAGCAGTTTCAGAGAAACTGCTATGTTTCACTGAGGGTTAATCCAGCCTCTAGCAGGGCCGGACTGGCCTACCGGGATACCGGGAAATTTCCCGGTGGGCCGCGGCACCTGGGGGCTGCGCTGCCATAGGTGGCACACTGAGAGGGGGTCGGCCGTGTTCCAGACTGGAGCCGCCGGGCCGGGTGGCAGCTTCGCCGGTCCGGCGGGACTCCAGTCACTGATGGCTGAAGGAGGAGGAGCCTGTCTACCATGCTCCCTCGCAGTTCCCAGCACAGAAACCGCGAGGGAGCATGGTAGACAGGCTCCTCCTCCTTCAGCCATCAGTGACTGGAGTCCCGCCGGACCGGCGAAGCTGCCACCCGGCCCGGCAGCTCCAGTCTGGAACGTGGCTGGCCCGCCTGCCTTCTCTCAGGTAAATTGGGGGCAGGGGGAGAGATAGGGAAAGGGGGTAGGGAGGGAGAGGGGAGAGACACAGGGAAAGGGGGGAGGGAGGGAGAGGGGAGAGATACAGGGAAAGGAGGGAGGGAGAGAGATGGGGAGAGGGGAGAGACACAGGGAAAGGAGGGAGGGAGATGGGAGAGACACAGGGAACGGTGGAAGGGAGAGAGATGGGGAGGAGGGAGAG